ATTTGGGACAACCATGACTCGCCTGATTGAAAACCTTCAAAGCCAAGAAGATTCCTCTTCAAAATGCTGCTAAAGAAACAGATATAGGTGGATTATTTGTAGATAATAAATTAATCTTTGATGATAAGATTACAAAATAAGGACATTTTCCTCACTACAATTTACCCACCTTAATTGCTTGTGCCAGTATTTTGAAGTCAGTGACCATTCCTCCTGCTTTTTTTAAAAGTGTAAATTAATTTTACTTATGGTAAAACAAGAGGTTCAAGTCCCATTTTGATAAATTAACAAATTAGCAAAAAGCTTGGTTATAGCTCCATTTTTGGCCCTTATTTCTGAACCAATCAGGCCTGTTGAAACCACCATTTTGTCTTCCATTCCTGAATTCTGAGCCAGAATTTCAGCCTCCCTCACGTGGTGAATTTTCAAACTCAGGCGATTCTGTTGCTACAGAAAGTTCCCAGTGTCTTGTACCTTGCTATGTTTATTTTATTTAATTCAGCTTTTCAATATATTTGTTTTTTAAATCATTTAGACTGAACCCACAAACAGCAAACTTTATTGTAGGATACAAATGAAGTGATTAGGCAACATTGCAAAAAAAGGGGGGTATGTACTTCATACTTCAGATGCAGGTGAGGGAAAGCCTTTGTGGAACTAAGATGATAGAAAGAGAGGGAAAATTATTGTTTATATTGTATTGTGTTTTGCTAAACAATGTGCATTTACACCTTTCTTTTCATCCAAGCTGAGTACACAGTAGATAATCATAGCTAAAATTAGTTACAAATATACCAGCGCTGATGCTAGCCTCTCTCCTTCCTGTAATTTTAACATATATTTTATTAGTTTATTTGACAAAATCCAAAGAAAAAGAATATTTTTAAAATGCATCATAATGTGTGCTTCAAATACAATTGCAAAGTGGATACATCTTCTTTGCCACGTTCCAAGTCTGATATTTTCAAAATTCTTGTGATATCAACAAATTCCTACATTTCAGGGACATAATTTAACATTCCATTCCTATGCTTAAGCTTAAATTCTCTTTTCAGTACTGAATGGATAACAAAAGCAAATATTGAAACAAAATTGAACCATCTCAAGTAGTAGTGGTAATAGTGGTAGTGACAGCAGTAACAAGAATCAAATTATTTGTGCAAAAGAAAGGTAAGGTCTCTCTAATACTGCCTGGAGAACAAATTTCCAGTTGCTCTCTCGATGACCTGTAACTCATACAAAACAGATATTTCAATGAGCAATAGATTAAATTGTACTGCTTTAGTGATTGTGTGCCTGGCCTCCATGACATCATTTTCCTTCATCTGTTTTTTAAACTAGTGATGTTAGGTTATTCTGGAAGCAAAACTGTTGTTTCTCACTGAGTTGTGAACCATCCCTTACTTTCATAAAAGAAGAGAATCCATCTGGGTGTGTCCTAGTTGATAAGAACACTAAGATAGAAAAGTTAGTGAGTTACACTGGACAAGCAGTGGTTAATTCAAATCAGACAATTTCATGGTTTTCAGACTACGTCTAATATACTTCGACCATGTTATGTGTGCACTTCTTTGGAGAAGTCAGTGGTGCTAGGTTAGTGCTAGGTTAGTGGAACAAGAAGGGGCAAGCAAAGATCACGCTGGTTTGTTAACATCAAAATTGATACAAAGATGAACATCCAACTGTCAACTCATAAAATATTTCTACAGTCTTTTTAGAGTTGCCAACAGAAAGGGAGGGGGGAGCAGTGCAGCTTGCAAACCAAAACTGCATTCCATAAATGTTTTCAAAGATAGTAACTAGGTGATTGAATTTTCTGCCATGCAAAATTCTAACTGGAGAGCATGATTGATGACTTTTGGCTATGGATGTGTCCCATTGGAGAATATGAATTACAATACACCCAGGGGGTGGGGGGAAAGCAGGGTCAGGGGAGACAATGAATTATGTGTCTCAGAGTCAGCTACACTCAGACAGTGCCAGACATGTTATCTCCCAATAAATCCTTTTGAAATTTTGGAAGTTTGGCTCAAGACTCATGATTGAAATGGAGGTAACTGCCAGAATCTTGACACCAACAACTGAAAGAAATTGTGCTTTAATAGCATAGCATGGAGAGCACTTGCTTATAAAGGTGCCAAGAATCAGAAACAACTGAATGATTAAAACAGCAAAAAAGTAGAAAAGTTAGTTAGAATATTTAGATCATTAATGGAAGGAGATATGGAGGAGCAAGGATAATGGTTGGACTGAACTACAATGGAAAAGTTGGGTTAAAAGAAATTATGGGGAAAGTTATTGATTATGTAATTCTCTTACTAACACAGATAACTAGTAGCAACGGTGGTGCTTTCAAATTTTCAGCTCTAGCACTCAGAACAGCACAACCCTTAATTCTGCGAAAGAAGTGTGGTAGAGAAATTATTTGTATACTGAATATTTGCTGGAATTGCATAGTGTTAGTTTAATAAAAAGAAGGACTAGGGGTGATATAATAGCACTGTTTCAATATCTAAGGTGCTGCCACAAAGAAAAGTAGATCAAGCTAATCTCCAAAGCTTCTGAAGGCAGGACAAGAAGCAGTGAATGGAAACAGTCAATGGAATAACTTGCCTCCAGAAGTTGGGCTGTTCCAACCCTGGAAGTTTTTAAGAAGGATTGGGATAACCATTTGTCTGAAATGGTTTAGGCTTTCCTGCCTGAGCAGGGGGTTGGACTAGAAGATCTCCAAGGTCCCTTCCAACTCTGTTATTCTGTTAACGTATCAACTATTAGTCTCTACCAGCATGACTGGAAATGACATCTACCTGAAATGCTGCCATTTAGTTTAGATGGATCAATTGTCTAAAATGATATAAGACAGTTTTGTATGACATAATTAGGAATATTCATTTGTACTATGAAATGAAATAATCAGTCAATATTAGTTGCCAATATTATTTCAATGTAGTAGTATTCCTGGTGACTCAGAAAATACATGTTTACTTACAGTAAGCTGTGTATTATATGTCTCTATATTTGTGTGTGTGTATACCACATCAAGAATGTATTATACTTCATTTTAGAAACAGAAAAAGGTCCAATTTTTAAAAAATGCCTCAAAAGACTATATGGAAGACAAACATAAGAAACAATTTGCATATTTCATATCCTATGTAAACATATAATTACATGAATGTACTGTATTTTTTTACTTTGCCATTTGTTTTCCAATTGAAATTAGTCAGAAAACATTTATTTTGTAAGGAGTGAATTTTTTGTTTTCATATTTCATTAAAAAAAAGTGCTGTTGTTTAGCATAAAAAGGAAAGTAAGAGAAATCTGTAAAAGCAGTAACATTGAAAACTTTCTTCTAAAGAAGAAAAACAAGACAATACAAAATAATAAAAATGTGCCATAAAATGCGAGAATTAAAACATAAATTAAAAAAAATATGTTGAACCTGAACTATTTTATACTCTTCAAATGATCAGAAAACAGGCCATGGTTTCAACTGTCTTTTAAAAGTAGATTTTATGGCTACTAGTTTACTACCTCCAGTTCATCACAACCAAGAATTCCCTCATCACTGTTCAACTATTACAAAGTCTGCACTACTATTACTGTTTATCTTCTCATCATTCCTTATCACCCACTTGTGACTGTATGACTATAACTTTGTCGCTTGTATCCTTACAATTTATATTGACTGTTTCCTAGTATGATTTGATTGCTTATTGTACCCTATGACTATCATTAAGTGTCGTACCTTATGATACTTGACTCTTGATGTATCTTTTCTTTTATGTATACTGAGAGTAATTTCACCAAGACAAATTCCTTGTGTGTCCAATCACACTTGGCCAATAAAGAATTCTATTCTATTCTAAAAAAAAAAAAAGGTCCTAATCTAATTTAGGATAATGTAAGACATACCAATAGCTGGGATCATAAGCAAGATCTCCCTACAACAGGAATTTGACAGAATTAGAGAATTCAGGCTTTTAAAATACATATTTTTAATAATGTTCAGAGCTTTATAGTCTAATTTGAATGCCATGAATCATAATATCTTCTCAATAGGGACCCATGGCCCAGTAGAGCCAATCCCAAAGGTGCTTTTTCAGGAGGCAACTGGACGTTTTTCTTTGAAGATGTTTCACTTCTCATCCAAAAATGACCCTCCAAAATAGGAGTATCAAGCTTGCAGACCACGCGACAGATGCTTCATGCACTGGCCATGCCCATGACCAGTTTAGTGAAGGAGGAAAAAGTCATGATACATCAGGTGACACTGCTGCGACACCGTGAGTTTGACAGCCCTGCTCTAAAAGGATGCAAATGACCAGCTGTCTGCAAGGAATATAAATCCTTCCATTCCCCACTATCCTGTCAGAGCTGAAGAAGCTTCTTAGATGAGAAGCGAATGTCTTCAAAAGAAAAAACAACAAGGAAGTCCAGTTGCCTCCTGAAAAAGAATCTTTGGGACAATCATGACCTGGATGACTGAGAATCTCTAAAGACCAATAGAACCAATATTGCAAACATTTGGATAGCTTATTTGTTAAGTTGCAGTATCCTTTTTATAACACTCAAGAGCTTTATCTGGGATATAGGTAAGGTGCAAAGCTTCCTCACCTTCCTTTGTATCTCTTTCAACTGTACACAGAATGACTTTTTACTGGGGGAGAAATCAATAAGTGAGAAATTGTAAAAGAGCTATTAGATAACTGTGATAAACCAGTATATCACCTAATGGCTTTTGGCTGACACATTTCTGCATCCTCTAAGAAATAATAAAAATGTCACATGGAATATCTCTATTTACTAGTTGTAATTTGCCAGAATGCATTGATTTGAAAAGGAATGAATGTTTTGTTCTCTTTCATGTTTTTGAGGCATAGAAAAACTGATGGTTTTTTTAGCATGAGAAAAAAAAAAGAAGGGAAAATAACTTTGTATGGACACTAATATTGAAAATGTTCTCCTTGTGAATAAAAATTGCAATCTTATGTTAACAGATCTGGGGAATTTCAGCGGACGGACAAGAAGTGCTGTGTCAGTGAGAGAAGGTCAAGGTGTGGTACTAATATGCTCTCCTCCACTTCACTCACCAGGTAAGGTTGGCTGAATGTTATATTGATAGCAACTCTGTGGGCTCATAATTTTCAGCTGTGATCTTGATGGTGGATCAGTAAGTGCTTTGATACCTAAGCTATCAAAAGAATAATTAAAGTCTGTGTCTCGTAAAAGCTTCTGAACCGGAGTTAGCATTCTGGAAATAAGGTTAAACTAATCCATTTTGCTCGGTGAATAGAAACAGCAATAGCAGACAGTAGATATGACTCGTCCAAGGACTTTCTCCCACCCTTCCCCAGTCTCAAAACTCTTCTAAATGTCAGTAGTGAGAGAGAGTTAAAGCCCATGTGAAATGATTCATTTTCTTTCATTCAGATATGAGTTGGACCATGGTCTTCTTTCATGATCAAACTATGATAGTGGTTATTTTGTTGTTGTTGGAAGTAGCTCATTTGAAATTTGTTCAGATAACCTTTTACTATGTCCTATATAGATTTTGTTGCAGAGGACAGTGCTCAGGCCTCAACTTCCTATGAATCAGACATGGAGCATTCACTCCATCAAGGCTGCCATCTTACATACCTAATATATCTTCTTCTTCCTGTTCCCCACCCCCCCAAACTGGCCCAAAGTCATCCAGCTGGCTTTCATGCCTATGTTGTGATTCGCTGGCAGCTTGTGGAGATGGCAGTAGAGTCGGACAGTGGGTCAGTCTGTGAGGAACATGGGTCAGTCTGCGAGTCTGGGGAGGGCTCGGATAAGGGTCCTGCATCCAATACAGAGATGGGGCCAGGACCATCTGGGAGTTATGTGCTGACTCTGGACCCTCCAGAATCTGACAGCAGCGAGGCAGAGGAACAAGGGAATCCTGTTCCCAGTGCGCACATGCGCAAAGCTGCCAGAAGGCAAGAACAGTTAAGACAAAATGGGCAATTTGGGAGTAAGGATTGGAGGTGATTGGCCTTCCCATAAGACATAAAGGAAGACCAAAGGGACATGAACCTTTGCAGGAAGCAACTTTGTTCATACTGGTCAGTTTGAAACCTGAAGCTCTGTGTTGAATTTGGCCTTATATAACTAACTGGAAATGTAGTCGTTGGCAGCATTTCAAGGAAGATAAAGGTGCGTGCTTATCAGACTTATCCTGAAGGACTTTGGCAGACTTCCATGGGACTACCCACCCTAACCACCCAAGGTCAAACACAACCCTGATGTGGTCCTCAAAGAAATTTTGACACCCTTATTTTAAAGGATCCTTGATTGGGCCAGTATGAACATTTATTCCCAAACTGAATATTTCCTTATAAATGTCAGAAACGTTAAGGTCTACAGTTTAATATGTAAAAGAGCAAAAGAATGAAAAATTCATTGACTTTTTGTTTTGCAAAGAACTGCTTTAAAAACAGGAATACACTTTGCTTCTGAAAAATGAAGCACCCATGTTGGTTTATTTTATGTCACCTCTGAAGCTTCCTTTGGCTATTCAGCAGCTGAAAGAGACTTAATAATACAGTGCTTTGCAAACCTCTTCCTTTTTTCCAGATAAAGCAGTGACTGCACTTACTGTTTGTTTCTCTGCTTCTTATAATGAACATTTCACTGATTCATCTGAAATATGATAGGCACATTGTATTATTGCAGTTGAACTACTGAAGGGAATTGCCATCACATTATAATTCCTTGGGTGACTGGGATTATAGCATCTCTTGTGTGTGTCACTTTATGTAAAAAGGTGTAAAAGACTCTTGAAGTGGTATACCTTGCCATTCAAGCATACCATGAAACCAGATTAAAATAGTGTAAACAAGTTTGTAACCAAGGTACACTTGGCAATAAGTGGCAAATGTTAAAATTCCAACCCCTTCATCAATTTGTTTCCTTCAAGATGCAAAATAGAGAAGAGATCACCTTTCCATCTCCAGTCTGCTCCTGTTATATACAAAAAAGGCTAATATTGGAATAAGCAAAGGCCATTCCCTTTGGGATCACATGCACAAAACCCATAGCACCGTCTCTATAGGAGAAGGGTAGATAGAGGTTGGTGTTGGAGTCAAGAGAGGTATCAACCTGGAGTCATTACATTCCCATGAACATCTAAGTCTAACCCCTCTTGAATTCCATTAACTCTTACCTAGCACCAATTTAGTGCTGACTGTTAGTTGACTACATTATTGTGTATAGGCATGAGCAATAAAATCAGTTTAACTGGAATTCTACAATTCAATATGATCCTGGTTCTTCTCATCTGACAGTTTATGGTAACTAGAAAGTTCTATATGTTTTGTTACATACTATATAAAATAGATTGCCCACTATCCTTTATTTTCTCTGTTGTTTTTCTGCTTTTTTATCCCACTTCGCCAGTGAACTTTTTATATTTCTTTATTTGTTTCTTTATTTATTTTTATATGCCACCTATCTTGCCATCTGGCAACTCTGTGCAGACAACAAGATAAGAACTACAATATAAAACATGTAAACAATAAATATTAACATTAAAATAGCTAAGGAAGGAACCAATATACAAGGAGAATCTCCTCTTAATCCATTAACTACCTTCAGTATGAAACACCCCTTTGGAACCAATTGGTAGAGCCAGATTTTAAGGCCTTTTTGGAAGGCCAAGAGGGTGAGGCAGATCTCAACTTAGGGGGCATGGTATTCCAGAGGGCAGGAATCATGGCAAAAGGCTCTTCTCCTGGATTCCACCATCCAGAAATCCTTGACCAACAGGGGCCACGGCATACCTCTTCTGCCAGTTTGAGTGGAGTGGGTCAAACCCACTGGGCTGAGATAGTTTATCAGGTAAAAGTAGACCCATGCCATAAAAGGGCATTAAAGGTCATAACCAACACCTTGAATTGGACCCAGAAGCACACTGACAAACAGTGCAGTTTATGCAATAGGCTTGTTACATGAGCCATCCTAAGGCCTGTTTGTGCAGCTACTTTATGTGCTAGCTGTAGCTTCTGTTTGCTGGTTTTTGATAAATAAGCATCAAGTTTTATTTATTATTTATTATTTTTATTATTTTATTTTATTTGAACTGAATGGTGCAAGCTTGCTCTGATCTGGATGTATTGGCTAATATTGGAATAGCCAATAACCACTCCCTTTGGGATTATCTATACAAAAGCCACAGCATTGTTTCTATAGGAAAGGGGCAGGCAGAGCTTGGCGTTGGAGTCAAAAGATAAATGAGTCTGGAGTCATTACATTCCCAGAAACATCTACATTCCCACAAGCAATTATGACTGATGGAAACAAACAAATAAAACTAGAAATTACCCACAGTCATTTACCAACATATTTCTTATCTACTGTAGGAGTCCTGAGAAATGTGGCCTTGATAATTTTTATGAAGTCCTTACTTGTTATTGCTCTGGTTTTCTCTGAAATGATAAACATCTATCTGATGTCTACCATTTCTGATTGCAGGTTCAGCATTGAATGATTAAAAATGCTGAGTACATACAAAACCTGAGAGATGGTGTAGTTCTTCTCTATTATATATTATTTATGTCAGGAGTTGACAATCTCTCTGGGCCATTGAGCCCATTTGCACTGAGGATATTATGGGAACGTTCTCAAAATGCCACAAGAGAAGAGAAATTTTAGCCAGAAGCAAATGGTCTTTGTTAGTTCTTACGGTATAAAGCTCTTCTAATAAAGATGATTCTAGAGAAGTTAGTATTCTGTAGCATAGCTTCTTTCTCTCCCTTTCCCTATATCATAAGTGAGTCAAGAAAATTCTCAACTTTTTGATGTATAGTATATATTTATTTTTAGCATGTAGAATCATTCAGAATAATCCGGTATGAGGTAACTTCTTTTAGAAAATGTTTCCATTTCCTTTGTCTACTGACTTGTCATACTGAGCTACAATGTTAGGAATTGACGTAAAATTGAAAGTTCCACAGAAATCTTTTTAGGACTCAAAGAAAAGAGATTCTTCTAACTCTTAAAGACTCAGATGGAAAATGTTGAAAAGTTGTATTAAAATATATTTTAATAATGGGAATAATGCATCAATGTGAAATTTTACTTCAGGTTTTCTATAGAAGAGCATAGAGATGATCTTGAATTAGTAAAATATTTGATAATCAGATTTGTTAGGATTATGGGAAATATTGTGTATGATGTGTACGCGTGTATGTGTATATATATTGTACATTGTTAAGGTTTATGCTTAGAATAAGTTATCATTTTGCTATATAGATTTAGAGACTGTTTTGGATTGTTAAATTTGCATATTGTTTATATGATGTTTTCATTTGAATTTAGAGTAAACAATATTTTATTATATATTTGTATTTGTACTGAAGAAAGTTGGGAGTCAAATTTCTTTTTTATTTTTGTCACTGTCTAAGTTCTTCCCACTTTGATTCCATTTGCCCTTTTTAAATCTTTTTTTTTTTTTGTTACTTTGTATTTTATCTTTCTGTTGGTTTAATTGGTAAAGCTTCAAGTGAGGAAAAACAAGAAAACATGAGAAAGAAACTAAAGATTGTCCTACTTGGCTCTCTTTGGCATAAGAGATATGCCAAAGAGGCATAAGAGAAAAAGGCATAAGAGATATGCCTACTATTGACCTCACCCCCTTCCTAAGAGGCCTGTAGGGGGCATGCATAAGCGCACCAATCGTGCCTACTGTCCCTGTCCTATTGTTTCTTTTATTTTTCTTATATGTACCCATTTCATGTATTCATAACTACATTTATTCTTATACCTATATCTTGTAAGCGATTGACAAATCAAATAAATACTAAATACTAAAGGGAAAGGGAAATACTGTGAGATTTTCATGAATGCCAATCCTTTTTTGGTATGTCCGGTCTGGAGACAAAGACCAGAAGTAATGCTAGAACTCTATCAGTATAGGATTAGTAGCAGAATCTTGAAAGTTTCACAGTGTTTTTATCAGCAGTTAATGTTTATTTTCTCAAAGAACATCTCTGGGTTCTTCTACACTTCCACTGTAGACAATATACCATATTTTCTGGACTATAAGATGCTCTGAAGCACCTAGCTTGGGAGG